ATAGATAGATAGATAGATAGATAGATAGATAGATAGATAGATAGATAGATAGATAGATACTGCTAGTTATTACTTTCAGTCTACAACTGAGACCACAGATTAAGTGATTTCCAGCTCATCAGTGACAAGAATACTTCACTCTCCCAAGACTTTAGTGGCAGACCTATACTTGTTTACAGATAACCCCCTAGTCTCAAGCAACTACTAATGCACAATGGAACACACAACACTGACACAGACATGGGGATTAAACCATGCCACAGACCCAAATGCCAACTCTGCCCCCACATGTATTGTGGCAACACCATTATAGGTTCTAACAATGTTGCATACAATATCAAGATCACTTTCACTTGTTCCTCAGCTAATGTAATTTCTGCCATCTTGTGTCAACAGTGCCTCTCTGTGCTCTACATAGGAAAAACAGGACAAGCTCTACATAAAAGAACCAATGAACATAAATCAAAAAGTTATGAAAGCTGCTATTCTAGAAAAGAAATACTACAGAACAGGAATACATAGGAAAACAGCTGAGATAAAGTTTATACACATGATTGACACCCATATAAATGGACTGAATATCAGTCAAGGTTTCTTATGTTATTACCAAATGTAATAATTATGCTATTATCAACTTTTATTTGCCTTCACAACTACCAGATCCATCTTTTAGTACAAGGCACAAAGGTAAAAACTGTTAATATTCTCTGAACACATTGCTCCTCTGCTATCTCCTTTAATCATGTTACTGCTTACAGTTGTTATTTAAGGTACCACAAACTCCCATTCCCCTCCCTCTACTTTTTACTCTAGCCTTGTTTTCTATTTTCTGTCTCTTGTGGGAATGTTTTCAAACCAATCTTCAAGAGAACTAAACACCAAACACAGGTAATAAATCATTGCATGTGTGAAAAGAAACCATACACCACTGTATTTTTAAGCTGGGCATGAAGGTTTTACTGTGTAACTCTGTACTTTGCCTCATATGTCTGAGGCGTGGCCTTGCCTACAGAAGCTCACATTAAAAAATGTCTTTAAGGGGGCCACAAGGTTTTTGTCTTTTTTGGGTTCCCCCCCCCTTTGGGTTTTCCTGATTAAACATCCATATATTTCAAGAAAATTCAGGGAGTGCCCAGGAAATTCAGCACTGAATTCATGGATCACAATTCAGAGTAGTCTTTTCAAAAGCAATGATATTCTGAATTCTATTTTATGCCACTGTAATCAGTTTCTTAAAGGTGAACACATTAACTTCCATATAGCCTTTTATCTTTCTTTCTATGTCATTGATCAAATACTCCATGTGAATAGAACTTATTGTACTAGGGAAATCAAAATCCAGAATACAAACATGCACTGATATGAGAGAAACACCTATTAAAACTGAACAAAAAACTAAAACGGTGTACACTTTTTACAATGAAAAAAAATACATGTTTTTGTCATTACATAGTCTCATGTTTATACCATATAATATATTAATGTGTTTTGTGTTGCTTTCTAGTTCTTCACCCCAAGAGAGAAACTGAGTCATCCAAAATAACAGCAAACTGAAAACAAATAATAAAAATAGATTTGTTCTCTTAGACATTCATATAACTTTATTCATTGCAAGCTGACAGACACAGAAACTTTGCCAGCAAGCATAAATACTTGATAATGTTACAATGACTAATACTGTATTTCATATGATAATTTACTGTCAAACTAAATCAAGAATACATGTGCGTGCCCACACACACAAATTCAAGAACAACACTCTGAAAAATTCATTGCATTAAGAAACCTGGCTGAAACGAGAAATTGTGTTGTTTTTAATTCTGATGAAATATGAAGATAAATGATATTCTCATGTCTTCCATTTTCGGCATGTGTTTTTGTTGTAATTTTTATGCCATATTCTTAAGCAGTTGACCAGACAGAAAACAAAATAAAATTAACTTAAGGTGGGGTAAAGATACCTATTTCTACAGAAATGTTGATAAACATTTGCTTACATGTGTATGTCTCTTCAGATGTAGCTGTTATGGTTTAATCCCCCATCATGCCAGTGGATGTAACAGAATTGTGGGTACGCATCTGCA